AATATATATATGCACATACACACACATACAGAACCTATAATCTAAATGTAAGATTCTTGAAGGTAGGAATCTATCATTTTCACAAATGCAAAACACAATTTTTGAAGAGTTCTATTTAATGCACTTACCTGTGGTATCTCCACAGACACTTTATGTATTACAATGACTTTTTCTATTAAATGATTAATATTATATACGTGTTGACAAGAAGTACTAATAGTACTGATTGCCTGAATGGGTTATGACTCAAGATACATTGAGGTTGGAAAGACCCCTTGATGGGGATGTTGAACTGAGAGGTCAAGCACAAAAATAGGCCAGTGAACTAGATAATATTTATGCTCACTATTCTGAGACATCATGAATATGAAACAAATCCTACAAATCTTCATGGGACAGAGGATGGTAGCACTGGGAATGGAGAGGAGGCAAATTCAAGCAACTCTATGAAGATACTCTACTTAATATAATTTGGCACTGATTCAATATGGGATGCAAGAGGAAAAGATGAAGAATGAAAGAGCTCTAATGTTTACAGCTAAAGAAATTGAGTAACACGATTAGTAGAAATGATAAAGGGTTGAGAATTAACAAGGTCCCCAGGCCCCAACCAGTGGTTTGATTGTGAAGGAATCTCCCTGAACAGGACACTTAAAAATAAAGATCACTAAGTCTGCAATTCTGCTTCGTTTCCCGGTGTCAGGGTTAGTTGTAAGAGGTCAGTGCATATATGGCAGAAGACCCCAGTCCTGACTGGACCTTCAGGACAGGGCCTGAGAAAGAGATTAACAGAAGTAAACTAGCATATCTGGCAAATGAACAGGAATTCAGGAGCAGAAGAATAGTATTTATTAGAGGCACATTCTGCACCTCTGGAAATTGACTAAAGGACTGGAATAGGCCTGAGTCTTCAAGGAGCTAGAAAGGCCATGGGAGTTAATGACATCCAACCTAACACCAAAAACTTCAAAATAGACTTAATAGGCCTGAAGGAGCCAATCTTTCTGAAGAATGTCATAAAGAAAATGGTATCTGAGAAAACTCAAGAGAAAAACTAAACGAAGAGACAGGAAAATATTGTATACAACTATGGAACTGGATATCATTGGCTTGAAGATTCTGCCCTTGAAACACTCTTTGTTACATTTTCAAGTAAGAGATCCATAACCATGATTTACATATGCATTGCTGTTCCATCACATATAATCTATTAGAGTGATGCCTAATTACACTTAACTTTGTCCTTAGCGTAAGGCTGAAACTACTTTACAACCATCTCTATGAGGTCAGATCTCATGGTTCTTGAAAGATGTTCCAGGAAGTAGGATATAAGTGGCATCTGAGCTCTTGCTAAAGATTCAAATCTTTAGGGGCTTTCCAAGACCTATTAAAACAGAAGTCCTGAGGATAGAGTTCACTAACCTGGGATTTAAGCTTCTTCCCTGGTGACTGATGAACTCTGAGGTTTGAGAACCACATTGTCTTACACATTCTAGAACTAGACTTCTTAAGAGGTCCACGTGAGGTATGTGTGATAGGCCAGAGACAGACACGTCAACTAGAAATAATGTGGGCTGGCCGTAGGCAGCCTTCTAGTTGTGTAGGATCTTGAGCAAGTTACTTAGCCTTACTGAATCTTCATAGAGGCTCTTCATAAAGAAAATAGAAATAATAATACTTACCTTGAAAAGTTACTATTAATACTGAAGTTTATACATCTCCATGGTAATTAGGAGTGCTGGCTCTCACGTTAGGCCCAGTTCAAATGCCATTTTTACCACTTACTGTATGATCTTCAGCAAATTGATACACCTCTCTCTGCTTCAATTTTCTCATTTGTAAAGTGAATACATTTTCCTCATAGGGTTGTTGTATTGGATGAGTTAATATGTGTAAAATGGGTTAGAAGACTGCCTAAAACGTAAGTGCTCAATAACTCTTATATATGAGTGGACATACAAATAACAATACTACTACTAAACTACTTCATGTAAATACATGTAGACCTAAAATATAGCAAGTACTTAATATTCAGTAACAATTACTATCACTATGTAATTCTTTCCCATGTAGTGTTACTTCTACTGTATAGGTATCCTGATACTTTCATTTATTACTTACATTCTAATCTCTTCCTTCTCCTCTAACCGCTGTGGATCACATCATTATTAAATGCCTTGATAGCTAACTACACCATATTATACTACAGTTATATAGGATGCCACCACTGGGACATGCTGTGGGGAAGATGGAATCTCTTTGTGCCTTTGCTTTTCTTTCAATTCCTATGACTCTGTAATTATTCAAAAATAAAAAGTATAGAAAAATGGGGATAACCGGGTATGGTGGCACATGTCTTCAATCCCATCTACTCAGAGGCTGAGGCAGAAGGATCCCAAATTTGGAGGCAGCAAGGGCAACTTAGCAAGGCACTGTATCAAAATAATTTTTTAAAAGAGTCGAGGACGTACCTCAGGGTTAGAGTGCTTACCTAGCATGTGCAAGGCCCTGAATTCAATACACACACACACACACACACACACACACACACACACACAAAACACCACCAAAAATGGGCAGGGAGCTTGTCTGGAGAAGTACTGGGGTGGCAGTTGCACCTAAAATTCTAATTTTTTTCCAATTAGATAATCAAAATTAAATCTTAAAAAGACCACCAAGCTAAAGAAAAACTAAGTGATTCTCCTCTCTAAATCAAATTAATATCAATTCTACTTCATCATTTTTTACCTTTCCTGCTTACCTTCTTCAGTTGACATAAAGAAGTCAGTTTCTGCAGACTCCACAAATTATAAGTCAGAAAAGTCTGGCAATGAAAGGAAACAAAGTGCCCCAATACCTGGCCGATTTTGTTCTCTAGAGAAAATATATTATGGTAGTAGTCCATGTTGTTACTACAGTGAAACACTTGAGGCAGGGTCGCTTTTGAGGAAAATAGGTTTATTTAGCACATAGTTTTGTAGGCTGCAAGTCTAAACAGCACAGCGATGGTTCTAATGAGCCCCACCCCTTGCATCAAATTGTGGCAGATGGGGTTATGAATATGCATGAGGGAAAGATGACATAGCAAGACAGCCAAAGGTTGGAGGGAGGCTAGGTTTGCTCTTTTTAGAACTGTCTCTTAAGAATTAGCTCAGGCTTCTAGGTGAACTACCTTAACCTCCTCTGGGAGTGACCTAATCAATTCCTGCTATGACCTACCTCCTAAAGGTCTCTCAACATCACCACACTAGGGACAAAGCTATGAATACATAAACATTTGGGGGACAAACTATATTCCAAAGGTTTGATTTTCTGTCAGAAAGGAACCAGCCCAACTATAACAAACACAAATTCCATTTTAGTAAGATTTGGCTACTCAATTTCTTTTTCAGCCAGTACAATTTGCTGAAATCACACATAATCCAAAGTATTCCCAAAGCAGTAGAGACCATAAAATCTATACATAAAGGGATCCCAATTTTCAATTTAATGTATGTATTGTAAGAATAAACTGATTAAGTGAAATAATTAACAATTATGTTTCTTTTTGAGATACATTTTACCAATCCAAGCCCTATGTATGAGTTTATAAATTCCCTTACAGATCTGTTGCAAAACTGAAAGTTTCTTTATTCAGGACGCTAAGAGAACATTGTGATTCACTGAATGTAAGTATCTCCATGATATTTTCCATAGGCCAAAAATAAGTCACGATATGAAGTTACCTAAAACCGAACAACATATTTGAAGTAGGTCTCCTAAGCATAATAGGTTTTACAATGGTCACAACTATGTATTTGGTTATTCTGTTTCTTACAGACTGTGTTCCCCCAAATTCCTCTTGAAATCCTACTCCCCAAAGTGATAAAATTAAGAGGTAAGACCTTTAGGAGTTAATTTGTTCTTGAAGATTGAGACGAGAGAGCTTTCCCTCTCTGGTTGCTTTCTGCCATAGGAAAATACAAAGACAGCTCTCTGCAAACCAGGAAGCTAGCCCTCAGTCGATATGAAATTTGCTAGCACCTTGATATGGACTTCATATCCTACAGAACTGAGATGTTAGCTGCTACCTAGTGTACAGCAATTTGCCATAGCAGCCTTATTAAGGATTCTGTGTTTTACTATTTCCTCAGTCAGACAACTTAAATTTCTAAAATCGTGCGAGGTATGGTGGTTTACACCTTGGGAAGCTAAGGAAGAAGAATGACTTGCAGTTCAAGGCCTCCCTGAATTACACAGTGAGACTGTCTCAAAAAAACAAATAAAACCTCCTAACCAGGGTTAATTCTACCATATCTTGCCAATTAGTTGACCAAGCTGCATTTAGAGCTATTAGCAATTTCCTGAAAAACTTCTTAATCCTTTTGATAAATTACGTATCTTCTATCTTAGGAGAACTGGAAGCATTGAACATGTAAATCTGTTGGCAAGTGAGCAGCAACAATTTCAACTGAAGAATTTAGGCCAGCAAACAAGATTACCTACAAATTATAATTAAGGATAATTGTCTTTACAAAATGTATCACTTTACTTTTAAACATGTAGAAGGCTCTGCCCTGAAACATGTTTATTCCTTACATTTTAACCCTAGAATGAGCATGACATTTGTATTCTTCGATAAAATTCAGTGATTTAAAGGAGTAACAACTCAATCTACACATTTTTAAAAAGAAGTGTTGGCTTGTTTTTCAATTTCAGGGACATACACTTGAAAAAGCTTCCATTTTCTGGTGCTTGACAAATAGCCACCGAGTACATATCATGTGGCAAGTACTACTGAGCATTAAGTATTCAGTAGCGAAAACAAATACCCTTTCTCTTTGACTTCAAATAGCTTACTGTCTGGGGAGGATGACAGACTTCACTCAGGCATTAAACAAATAAAATTACAAGATGTGGTTATTGCCTACTTGTGTTGCACCTCTCTCAGTAACACTGATCAAACTCATTTTAATTTTCTGCACAGAGAATTTCGGGCTGTTTACTCCTCAAATACAATTAGTTGTATCTGAGCGACACAAAAATATATAACCATAGACAATTCTATAAACTTCATCATGAAATTTATTTCAAGAAGTACAAAATATTCATCCATACTTGCGTGCTTACACAATAAGTTCCTGTTAAAAAATAATTCATTCCCAATGATGAATGTAACTGTACTGTATACCTAAAACGTACCAATAAACTCAATGAGGAAAAAAAATTCACTAGTAAGTTTCTTTCTTGAATCCAAGACAATGATGGTGGAAAACACATATTCCAGCTTTACAACTCGCATCTCACCCTAAAGTTGCATGCACATACAATACTTTAATTAAATGGTTGTTTGGGCAGAATACAAATTTATAACGAACTTCATCTGTATTTTAAGATCTGCGTTCAACTTACATTCAAGTTAATCTTTAGCGTAAATTATTTCCCGGTAGTTTGTTTGCCACAGTCCTAGTGGAAAGTATGCAAAGTACTGAGGACTTTAAAGATATTACCTACTTCTAAGCTTTTTTTAAAAAAAAGGCTTTCCTCCCATTAAAACATCTTCAGCTGACTCCTATAATATTGCACCTATCTTCATTTCATTTTTCAGAGGCAACTCTGCCGTTTATACTTTTTAAACACACGGCTTCCTTTTCTTAAAAACAAAAAAAAATCCCTCCTTTGACTCTGGAAGTGTTTAAGAAACTTTTGCACTTTAAGCGTTTTTTCTGCATTTGTTCTGACCCGAAAGAACCAGAAGCGATCCCAAAGGAGTTTGTAGGCTTTCCCCTTACTACCTCGACTTACAGAAACACATCCAACGCCTGCTTTTGCTTCTGACTGAAGGTGCTGCTAACTACTTCGCACAGCACTGTGAGGTGTTATTATATTTAAATGTATCTTAAAACACTTTCCCATACTCTTTACTGGAATATTAAGTACGTTCTTTTGTAGCTTGTTTTATTTTTGCCTCTGGTAACAATGTTTCTCATAAAGATGGTATCCTTGGAGTTCATTTTTTCCGCAAAAGAATTACATTATATTACTGTGTCAGGTCCCCGCTTTCCAGAAGTTAGTATTTCGCGGCCAAGCAGCTTCTTCAACTTTCTAAAACGAAATTCTCAAGAAGTGGCATCATCAAAGGACCGTCAGCTCTTCCGAAGTTCCCACCTGTTGCAGGTACTTGGTCAAAGATGAATCCGATTCTTCCCAGGGCCCGTCTGCGTTTCCTTCGGCGCCCCCGCCGCCCGCCTTCCAACAGA